GGGTTGCTGGCAAGGTGAGAGGTGAAAGGAGAGATAGTGTAGCTGGGTTATGCACATTAGGGAGGGTATCTGCTATGGTGAGTGCTGTGAATTGTGTAAGACTGATGATTCACAGACCTGTACCCCTGAAGCAAATAATACATTATATGTTAATATAAAAAAATAAAGGAAAACAAAAATAAGATTCTAATATATAAATATAGTCTTGGTCATAGCTACTCATGCATGTTTCTTTTTTAACTTACTAGTATTCTTTATACAAATTTCAATTTTTCCATAGCTGATTTCTTTATGAAAATGCTGAAGAATCTTTTTCCCTTCTTTTTTAGATTTTTATTTATTTATTTATTTATTTGAGGGAGAGAGAGTAAAAGAGTGCGAGAGAGTGAGGGGAGGGGCAAAGGAGGAAGCAGAATCCTTGCTGAGTAGGGAGCCCCGATGTGGGACTCCATAACAGGACTCTGGGATTGTGACCTGAGCTGAAGGCAGTCACTTAATCGACTGAGCCACCCAGGCGACCCTTAGGAAACTTTTTCCCACTGAAATTAATCACTTACTCGGTACCTATGACGGTTACTTTTACATGCCAACTTGGTGAAGCCACAGTACCCAGATACAAACACCAATCCAGATGCTGATGTGAAGGTTATTTTTTTTTTAAGATGAATTAACTTTTTTTTTTTTTTAAGATTTTATTTATTTGTTTGAGAGAGAAACCGTGAGACAGAGCATGAGTGAGGAGAAGGTCAGAGAGAGACGCAGACTCCCCGTGGAGCTGGGAGCCCGATGCGGGGCTGGATCCTGGGATTCTGGGATCATGACCTGAGCTGAAGGTAGTCGCTTAACCAACTGAGCCACCCAGGTGCCCAACTTCCTTTTTTTTACTATGTGACAGCCCTGTTTTTATTATACTTTTACTCATTTAAAAAAATTTTTATAGAAACTTTTATACACAGAAATAATACAATAAATCCCTTTATAACCATTACCGAACTTTAGCAATTATTAATGTTCTGCTGATCTTGTTCCACCTACTGTAGGCATGGAGAGAAAGAGTATTTTAAAGCAATCCCAGATATTCTATTTGTTTGACCCATAAAAGCTTCAGTCTATACAGAGTTCTCTTTTTTCCCATTCTTAAAATGGAACAATACCAATTATTATATCCAATACAAAAACAACTCCTTCCTATCATCTAATACCTACTCCATTTTAAATTTTTTCTGTTTGCCTAACAAAGTCCATTTTTTTACAACTGGTTTGATCTAATCAGGATCCAAATGAAGTCCTCAGCATTGGGATATATGTCTCTTAAACTTCTTTCACTTTTTGCAATAGTTCTTCCTTTTTCCCTTGTAGACATTCTGACTCTGGATTTGGTTGAAGATAAATTAACATTTAAGTCAGGAGATTCTGAGTAAAGCAGACTATTCTCCATAATATAGGCAGGCTTCATCCAATCAGCTGAAGGCCTTAAGAGGGAAAAAAAGACTGAAGCTCCCCAAGGAAGGGGTAATTCTGCCTGTAGACATCTTCAGACTTGAGCTGCATCATCAACATTCTCCTGGGTGCACAGCCTGCCAGCCTGTTCTGCAGATTTCAGATTTGCCAGCCCCTACAATTATGTACACCAATTAAAATCAATCAATCAATCAATCAATCTCTCTGGAGACATATAGGCTCTGGAAAACCATTATAGAGTACCCCAGAGTTTAAAATCTTGCTTGGTGAGTATAGAAGACCCAAAGATAAGTCCCTCATGTCCCTCAATCAGTTCATTCATTTAAGAAATATATGAGCATCTGCTGTGTGCTACATTCTGAAGATTCAAAGTTGATCTAGAGCCTTGTCCTCAAGGACTTGGGAATAGGGGAAGTTTAGTTGAGGAAAGATACAATACAATAAATATGCAATAAATTAGAATGTAATAAATATAAGGTTACAAGCTCAGGATACTAATCATGGGAGCACGGAAAGGAGGGAGGGGCAGGACACAATTGAGGTTCTTGCATCAATTGAATCTTACTGCCTGTAACCAAAATACTTCATCATATATTCACCCTTGAAAACCAATTACATACCTTACATGTTTAAATTTTAAAATAAATACATTTTAAAAGATATAGAATGTGAAAACAAACACAACAGAAATACTACATTGTTAGTATTTCTTTGGAGTTTTTTTTTTTTTAATAAGCTGAACTGAGTAAGGAATCTTAAAATAGGAGTCAGAATGTTGAAGAATCTTGTTCCAGTTTTAAAAGCCAAACTGATTAACTGGCACTGTAAAGATATGCACAAAATCTCACAGTTCATAAATCTCGAGCATACCGTGTAAAATGAATATTGTAAAATGGGATTAGTCTTTAATTCTTTGAAATGTAATTAGATATTAAATCATAAAATCCTTACTTTGAAAGCATCTTAAGCATATATGAAAAGTGATTACAATCATGTGTAATCTTAAATTCATTTGACTCTATGTTCATTTAAGAATACTTCAAATTAAAAAAAAAAAGAATACTTCAAATTGGGCAACTGGGTGGCTCAGTCTGTTACGTGTCTGCCTTCAGCTCAGGTCATGATCCTATGGTCCTGGGATCAAATCCCACACTGAGCTCCCTGCTCAGCAGTGAGTCTGCTTCTCCCTCTCTCCTTGCTTCTCCCCCAGCTCATGCTCCCTCTCTCTATCAAATAAATAAATAAAATATTTTTTAAAATAAAAAAAATAAAATAAATTTTAAAAAGATTACTTCAAATTAATTTGCTATAGCTTTAGCTACTTGTAACTATGCTACTAATATTACCAAATAATATAAAAATTCAGGTTCTATGTTCACAGTGAGAAATGTGACCACAAATTTAAACAATAAAAAAAATCATTAACTTAAGAACAATAGTTAAATCTCAATCAGATAGTGAAGAGTGATAAATAAAATGAAAATCTTGGATTTTTAGCTTTGGTCCTTATTTAAATAAGGCAATTTCTTTCATTCCCAGTAGTCTGAGAATTTGTAATATTTCATAACTCTGTCAACTGGCATACTAAAGACTATCATACAAAAACTCCTATCAGTATTATTATATGACATTTTCTTCTCTGGGTTTGTGATTAGAAAGAAAAACATCTTCCAGGGTGCCTGGGTGGCATAGTCAATTAAGAGTCTGACTCTTGGTTTCAGCTCAGGTTGTAATCTCGGGGTCCTGAGACTGAGCCCCACGTAGGGCTGTGGGGTAAGCACAGAGCCTGCTTGAGATTCTCTCTCCCTTCCCTCTATCCCTCCTGCTCATGCTCTTTCTCTTAAAATAAATTAATCTTTAAAAAAAGAAAGAAAAACATTTTTCAACATTAAACTGCTGATAGATATTATTAACACAATCTCGTTAATTTTCCACAATTACTCTTTATCAGCTGGTGAAACCTACACCCCCATAGTAGGCACACAATAAATATTTGCTAACAGAATGAATGAAATGTGCCTAAATTCTATTCAACATGGACACTGTCAAAGGTATAATTTTTTTTGTGAAGATTAAGAGATTCTCCTTTGGGACTACAGGGACCTCCATATATCCACCCCTAAGAAACTACATAAACTAGCATCCCACTAATACTTCATGAAACTACTGGAGCAAATTATTCAAGATTTCTACTGGGCCCACAAAAGCTTTCTATTCAAATGCAAATACCTTGCTATCAATTTGAAGCTCCACACTCTCTGTGCTGAGGCTGGAAGGCTGAAAAGGCCCTAAGTTATCAATCAGAATACCACAAGAGCCCCACTGGCTTCTCTGTTAATCCTTGGGTAACTTCTGGGGGCTTCAAGTTGGTCACTCTAAAATTCTATGATTAAGTAATTCTAGGACGCAATGCAAATTTACCTTCAATATTCCTTTGGAGAGTACAACGCTTCAGAAGTCCTATAAAAGTGGTTTTTAACCTTGTTTGGTTGATGGACAGCTTTGAGACTACAAAATGCTACAGACACTAATCATCACAAAACAATTCCCACACGAAAAAAAAAATTTTAATAAAATATCAGGAGAGTTTAATGATGCTCTGAAGGGGTTCATGGAACTCATGTTAGACACTTACGTTTTATAAATTTAAATAGAATTCAATAAACTGGAGACATGTTAATAAGTTTGAAAACAAAGCAGCACTTTGCACCTGGTTCTTTTTTATAAACAATTAAATTTTAAATTTCAAACAACAGTAAAAGGAATCAATTATTTTTGTAACTATCAAGGCGAAACATGGTTTCAAAGAACTCCCAACTACTAGCTTAGAACATTACACTATGTTCACAAATCAGAATTCCAGATAAGTGATATCCAAACCATTATGATTATATGTCAGTCTCAATTCCAATGAACCAGGTGTAATTTATTACAGCATTGATTTAGGATTCCAAACTTAAACATATGTTCCATTTGATTCTCTTTCTGTAGACACCCATTTGGACATAGGCCTTCAATAAAAATATAAAACTAAATATAAAATATTGACTTGCTAAAATGGCTTTAATTTCTGAAAGATTACATAGCAATCGTATACTTTAAAAGTTGAACATAACTAATTTATAGTTAAGATTGGTTAAATTTGGGGCACCTGGATGGCTCAGTGGGTTAAGCCCCGGCCTTCAGCTCAGGTCATGATCTCAGGGTCCTGGGATGGAGCCCGGCATTGAGCTCTCCGCTCAGCAGGCGGCCTGCTTTCCCCTCTCTCTGCCTGCCTCTCTGCCTACTTGTGATCTCTCTCTCTGTCAAATAAATACATAAAATCTTAAAAAAAAAAAAATTGTTAAATTTATTGAGTTATATGAATTTGTTCATTATACTACAAAAGAAAGGAAAGTTAAGGAAAACTTTTAGAACACTTTTCAATGTAAAAGGAAAGGAAGTAGAGGGGCCTGACTTACCACATACAGGAAAAAAAGGAGCAATTACACAACTCTACAGAGATTCATTAAACATAGGCAAATAATGGTGCTGAGGTTTTTTAAATCATCCTCAGAATAAGCCAAAAGCATGCGAATATCTGCTCTTTTAGTACAGTTTCCAACGTAGACCTTTTGTGTGAGCTTCTCTTAGGATTCTTCTCATCTAAAACGGGTCCCCAGAGAACCAGCAAGAAGAAATTCTATGATTATTTTCTGATGCAATAAAGGGAGAGGCTTTTTAAGGAAAATAATGACTCTGCCCCAATTGTGATGGGAATATCCCTATCAGGAATATAAAAGTAAAATGGCTATAATTTCTGGTATATTTCTTTTGTCTTTTTAGATAAAGCATATCTTCTTAAGGGATCTTTTCATTAAGTCATGAAATCATAAATTAAGTCTTTTTTTTAAAAAAAATTTTATTTATTTGACCGAGATGGCACAAGTAGGAGGAGCAGCAGACAGAGAGGGAGAGGGAGAAGGAGACAAGCAGGGAGCCTAATGTGGGGCTCAATCCCAGGACCCTGAAATCATGACCTGAGCCGAAGGCAGTCACTTTACCAACTGAGCCACCCTGGCGCCCCATAAAGTCTTTTTATTACAAATTACAAAATATAGTTTATTCAGTTCACAAGTGAAAAACATTTAAATACATTTATGTAACCTACTTAGAACACAGATTCTGGATTCTCCAATGTTCCACTTATAAATTAAATTACTCGAGAACTGTGAATAGCGGCTGTGTCTACTTGAATAATTGCACATTTACCTGGAAATGAAGCAAATATCTAGAACTTAGTCTATAATCATCCTTATAAGCCTAATTTACATTCTAGATGTTTACTTCTATCAAAGGATGATCTACCTACTAAAAATTTGCAAAGATATCAATCAGCAGCAGAATTAAATAAGAATCTAGAATTAATGTTTCTCTCCTCTTCCGCTTTAGTTTTCTAAGTCCTCCTTAAAGATACACTGGGCAAGGTCTTACAGAGTAGGCTTCATGTGTGACTGCATGACAGCAGGAATTAGTCAAAAACATCAGGGTTTTTACTCCTCAGATTTGCCACTAACCTGCTTTTGTGACATCGGGTATACAGGACAACTTCTCAGAAACTCAGTTTCTGCCATGTGTAAAACAAGTATGTTAGAGCAGATGATCTTCAAGGCCACTTCCAATTAAGATACTTACATAAATCTACATTTATGTGAGTATACAAATGAATAACAAAATTAGAATAAGTCCATACAAGACTATGATCATAGGTATATATGTAGGAATAAAAAATGGCAAAGAACTGTATTAAAAAAGAAAAAGGCTACAATATTCACACTTAAGGTTTCCTTTCAAAGTTTAGGCTGGGGCTAATGATTAAAAAGGGCCCAGAAAGTCACATTCATGCAAATCCCCCGAAACCTCTTTTCATGCTGCCACTATCCTAATATCCACAAAGAGTATAACCTAATAGTGTGCTTTCCTCCCATTATGACCATTCCCACATCTGGTCCAAGATGAACGGATACAGTCTATCTAGATAGGGGTTGGCAAACTGTTCTGTGAAGAGCCAGTTAGTAAATATTTTAGGTTTTGCAGGCTATATGGTCTCTCTAGCAACTACTCAACTCTGCCTTCAGAACAGAAATGCAGCCACTGACTATACAAACTAATGAGTATGGTGGCTGTGTTCTAATAAAACTTTATTTATAAAAAACAGGCTGCAGGCCAGATTTAGCCCACTGGCTGTAGTTTGCCAACATCTGGTCTAGATCACATCAAAAAACCAGATGGTATAAACCAGCTGTAAGTGAAGGTGACATAGTTTCAGAATAGAAAATCACTATAAAGAAAACAACTATGAGTCATTTAAAAATTTTAAAAGAATCCCTTCAGCCTAGTATTAGAGCATGATAGAGTAGCAACTACCTATGCAGGTATTAAATACATATTAGATGCTTAATAAATAGAGATTTCCTCTCCCTTCTCAACAGTGTCATCCCTCGAGATAGTATTTGCTGCCTAGCCGTCCTTCTAGAAATCACTTATGCTGGCCCTCGGATAAAAGCTGGTCCTTGATTCTTCTAGATCCTGGCAAACATGCTCCTGGTACCATTGTATCAAGGTTTTAGCGCTCCTTCATTCCCTTTTCACCCCATTAATCTAAACCTGCAACTTCACAATCTTTTCCATCTGAGTCTTAAATCTCAGTATTACTAATTACTCACTATTGGGCCAGGGAAGGTGGTAAAGAAAAAGAGAACAGAAAGAAGAGGATAGAGAGAGGATAGATTCTGGTGGAAGACAGGGGAGTGGTAGCATTACCTCTTTCCTGACTCTAAGAAGGAGCCAGGGGCTACTGTTATTTTAAATAAAAATGTTGTCTACTCTAGTGAGAACAAAGAACATTTCACTTTATGCAAAGTGCTCCCTAATGAAAGAACTCAGTTCTAAAGGGGGGGGGGGGGAGAAACCACAGTAAGCTTTATTCTTATGCTTTTATCTAGATCATTCTGCCTCCAGCTGTGAAACTGAGGTTTTTAAAGCTCTAAAGAGCCTCTACTAGTAACCATGGTTACTACTTCAAAACAGTACCAAAAAAAGTAGGAGGGGATAGCAATTTGAAGAGAAAAACAGTTTTCTTGATTTTCATCAAATGAAGCTATAGTAACGAGAGACAGATAGGCTGATGGCTGGGCAAGGGCCTCAAGACTATCACTTCTCCACAGAGCTGCTGAGGTATTTGATCCCTCAGCCTTACAGGTCTAGAACCTCAATGGGTCATTTTACCTTACCCAAGGGTGATCCCCAAAAGCCAACTTCATCATTTACAATGGACAATACTGTATAAACTCAACTGATATTCTTGAATTTGCTTTGCAGCAGAAGCTTACTTGGGAAAAAAAAGAGGGCAAGGTTGCTTAGAAGTATATGAATCCGAGCCTAAGAAGCTACCTATGGTTTTCATATAAAGCTGCCCAAGTAATGCTTCTCAATCTTTGCTAGTCAAAAGGCTTCCATCAAATGTTCCTCTTTTCAAATCCCTTAGCAACTTTCTCAGTTATTTAAGAATTCATTCATATACAATACCATCCATGTTTCAGGCACTGTAAAAGATACTGGGTACATCACAATAAAGAAAATAGACACAACTCATGCCTTTGTGGGGTTTACAGTCTACTGGAGAAGTGAAACATTAGATACACGATGAAAAGCTTTGTTAACCGTGCTAATGAAGGAAAAAAAACTAAAGCGTTTTTACTAGGGTATCAAGAACAGCTTCTCTGCTATATGAACATACTGAACGTTGACAGCTATTGTTCCTGGGTAAGGGACGCACAGGGATTCCTCATGCTCTCTACTTTGGTACATGCTTAAAATTCTCAAAATCGAAGTTTAAAAATGCAAGATATAAGAGACCTGAAATAAGGAGGTACTAAACAGGTAAAAGTTGCCAGAGAAGAGTGTTCTCTGGGTTGAAGAAAGAAGATAAGCCTTAATCCAGAGAACCTGGGAGCCTGGCACACTACAGAGATTAAAGCCTCAACACCAGCTAAAGATCTTTCACATCCAGGGACACCTGTGGCTCAGTCAGTTAGGCATCTGCCTTCAGCTCAGGTCATGATCCTGGGGTCCTGGGATCAAGTCCCACATCAGGGCTCTCTCTGCCCTTGGGGAGCCTGCTTCTCCCTCTGTCTCTCTTCCTCTTTCTCTCTCTCCCAGTCTCTCATGAAAAAAATACATAAAATCTTAAAAAAAAAAAAAATCTTTCACATCCACATGCTACAGATGAAAAATATTCCAAATAGTAGTAATGGAAGGTACCTTTATTGAGCCTCCACTAAATGCTAGGCAGTGTGTTAAGAGTTAATGTGCTTTGTCTCATATGTGTCCCAGAACAATCAGTAAGAAAGGTACAATTATTCCTAGTTCGCAGAGGAGGACCCTGATGTACAAAAGATCAGGTAACGTGCCTACATCTGATTCCAGAAACTATGCTTTTCCTTAACTACAATCACAAAGTCTTCCTACCACATATCCAGATGCCACTGCTAGTTATTTTTACTCAAGAATTCTAAATTCTTGTTCCATCTCAACAATTAACTGAGATGATATTAAAATATTCCCAGCTTTTAAACTCTATCCTTTATGACTATATTACTAATTTTTGTCCATGCCAGTTTATACCTATCATATTTGGTAGAGCATATGAAATAATTAAGGCAATTAACTAAATCTGAACAACTCATTAATTAATCATTCTACAATCACTGGTCAACTTTGTGCCAGGTACTCTTCTAGGTATTAGAAATACAGTAGTGAATAAAACAGTTAAAAATCTCTATCTTTGTAGCACTTAGAACTTAGCAGGGGGGAGAGAGACAACACATAAGGAAGTAAACAATATAGTACATTAGGATATGGTAAGGGGGTGCCAGGGTGGCACAGTCGGTTGGGTGTCCTACTCTGGGTTTTGGCTCTGGTCATGATCACGGGATGGTGGGATTGACTGAGTCCCCACCAGGCTCCATGCTCAGAGTGGAACCTACTTGGAACTCTCTCTCTCTCTCTCTCTCTCTGTCCATCCCCCATCTCTAAAATAAAATAAATATATATATTTTTTAAAGTATATGGAAAGTACTATGGAGAAAAATAAACCAGGGAAGGAGTTTGCTGATTCCCCCCACCTATCATGAGCAGGAATAAATATATCAGTCAATAAGGCAAATAAAGACAAACAGTACCTGAGTCCTTGCCCTTGAGCTGACCACACTCGAGTAAACATAAATATGAGGAATTCGAGGAAAGACCAATAAACAAAGTACTATGGAAACACATAGGATAGGGCCATAAGGCAGAAGGAACTGAACTGCAAGCTGGATTCTGTTCTTTGAAACACAAACACATACAACAACAAAAAAGAAAAGGAACCATAGAAAAAAAGAATATGAGACCTATATTTTAAAACCACATTCCAAAATTTCATAAAACCTTACTGATAAATATTTTTAAAAGATACAAAAGAAATAAAGACACAGACTATTTTCCTGTTTGGGAAAATTACTATGAAGACACAAAATGATCTCCAAATTACAGGTTTAATACAAATCAAATAAAAACAAAAATATTTTTCAGAAACATCATCATAAGAATCTATACTATAATTA